AGAATGGAGACTATTTCATTTAATAAATGTTTTGTTTTGATATACAAATTGTTCGAGTTTTTTAATCTAAAATAAAGCAACATGAAATTCTAGATGACCTAATAGTTTTCATGCCAGAACTTCTATATTTACTGTTCTATCTTTTAAGAAATATGAGTTTAAGAACTTATTTATAAATAGTAATAATGTATATACATATATTATGTATAATAATTTAAATGTGACTAGTCACTTTGTAAAGACTAAAGTTCAGTTGTATATTATTGAATATGGTAACATGAGTGCACGTTCACCATGTCATTGTAACTTCTGTATTGTTAGCCAGGCAAGGCTAGAAGGTCAATATAATAAAATAATAAATATCTATAAATGCATAATGTTATGAGATTTAAGCTACTTAGACAACAATTTTTTATTTGTGTTATAATCTGTAGTCATTGTAGAATGAAAAAAGCATAATCTATATTTTTTTTTCCTAATTTTTTTTTACGGAGGTCAAATCAAACCAACCCGTATAGAAATACACTAGTGAAAATAACAAACAATATGTAAAGTTTTTTCTACAAAAAAATTTGATAATTATCTTAAGATTATAAAGATTTTGCACGTGAAGTTTGAAAATGTTCTAATGCATTAAAATATTTTTAATCTTAAAATCAAAATTGTTTTGCATGTTGGATAGTCAACATTCTGAAAGAAAAAGGTTTACGAGAAAATAGTTAATTAAAAAATCTTAATACTCAATTTCAAAAACCTGATATTTTGTGCATAAAAACCTTGTAATGTTTAGAGGTTGAGATAAACATGAAGGCAACAAGGATAATGAATTATGCAGATGAGTGGACTCAATTCTGGCCTCCAAAGAATTGGGAAAAACCCTAAACACCTCTTCATGTAAAAAAAGTGCCATGCACAAGTCATGCTGGGAAGTAGAAGGTAAATGTACTCAAGAAAGAATGGCATCTCGACTTCGAGCATATCAGCCACACCTGAAGTGCCAAGGCCAAAGATGAAAGGTGTACCCTTATAGTAAACAGAAGACCACAAACATCATCTAAAAACCATTCAGGAGACAAGCGAGTTGCCTTAGCCAACAAGTGCAGCGTCGATAATGCATGCAGTATTGTGGGCAACATCAGACTGATACGAGAAATATGAGGTTGAAAAAATTCACTGACACATTAGGGTTCAAACCCCACAATGTAATGCAAGATTCCAAAACATTGGGAATCAAGATAAGGGAAGGAAGATATCTATGAAATGCATAAGCACGAGGCAGATGAGGCATACTAGCTTCCAACTGAAATTGATCCCACAAAATGCTGGGCATGAACCCTAACATCAAGTGAGAGAGGGAACACTAAATATTGGCCCATAAATTCATCACCAAGGAGGGTAGGTTGAGAATAATAGGAAACAGGACATAAGGATAATACAGCACAAACCTGATTAATTAATTCCACAAAGGGTGAAAAAGGTACGGGTAAATCCCCAGATATCACTTGTGACTGGGAAGCAATTCTCGTCCTCCCTGTCAGACATCCCAGAATCAGGCATGACAAGATATTCCTCATGTGGTGGTAAAGGTTGCATGAACTTGGTCAGTTTTCATCGAATATTTGCCATCATGTCCTCGTGTAATAATTGGAGTACCCAACCCAGTAGTATTAGTCGGGAAACGTGCAGTAGCTGTAACAGCTGGGGTAGGTATAAGTACCTGAAACTGCGAGTGCATAGTGACAAGTCCAAACTTGAAGAAAAAAAAATGGAAAAGGAAGAAAAGTTGGAAAAAGCAGCCTTTCGTAATTTAAAAATGCAAAAAAGTACACAAATATTACAGAAAAATTAAGTCTGTAGTATAAAAGAAAATGTCAAGAAACTAGCGAGCAAAAATAAGGATGGCTGTACAGTTCTATTGCCAATCAAGAAGTGATTAACAAGTGCAAAGGTGGAGAGGATGGTGGTTACAATAGGGGTTGTATCGCACTCCTATTGGTGGAGAGCTCCTGCATAATTATTTATATGTGGATATGCAGAAGTGGGAGGTGGAACGGTAGTGGCGAGCATTGAAAATTTGTGCCGATAGAGGGCAATACTAATTGAGAAAAGTTGTTTTGTGAGAAGAGGCAAGATATCGTATCAGAAAAAAAGTTTTAATAACCATGGTGGACAAAGTACAAATAGCACATTTTGTAGTTTGTCGCTTAACAACAAACAAACATAATGGTAACATTTCAATTAAATGAATAGTTGGAATAATTGAAAATATTAGTAACAGGAAACCCTAATTAATTTTGATTAAATGATTCTTTTCTTGAGTTGTGATAATTGATTAAGTTACCCAAATTTGAATTAATCTAAAATAATAATGAAGAATCTACCCTTGTACTTCAGCTAGCTGACATTTGGTCATGCGAACATACTTTAATATGACATATTGTTGCAGGAGTTTAATATTCCAATGTAATTCTTATTCTTTCTTAGTAAATTTATTATAATGATGTTTTAAAGAAATGTTTATATGGTAATATTCATATAATAATTGTTCACAGCTTTTTGATAAAGCAATAAATTATTTTTAAAATAACATCTATTTTCTTCTTAGAATTTTATTTTATACAGATAGATTCACCATTTTTATACAGCCCAGTACAGCTATATGATTTAGATAGGAGGAAATATGTAGAGTAAAAAACAAAATCATATCACACATGATGACTACTATTTGATAATGAGTTTTAAGAAAACTGTATGACTGTAAAGTACATAATTGCAAAATATTGTTTGTTATTTGACTAACCATTTCCAAGTTTGTCCTTGTAGTGTTCATTATGACCTGTCACTCTGAATTTATTTTTGTGACGAGTGTTCACAATTAAATGACACAATCATTGTCTGACAAGAGATTTTATTAGTTAGCAAATTAATGTAGTTCAAATCCAAAACTATTATTCAGAAAACATCCATGAAAATATGTTATCTTTTCATCTGATAAACTTACATTCTCATGATCCATGTGCTTAAGCAGGCGAAGTTCCCTATAGGTTCGTTTAGCATGGACTTGGGACTGAAATGGTCTGGCCAGTTTTTTGATCGCTATTTTCATGTTGTGTACAGAGTCCCATGCTGAACTGCAAGTCAAGTAAATTTGTAAGTATATTATAAAGAACCCTTATAAAAACATACAAAGTGGTGGTAATTTAGTATTATCTTTTTTAAACTGTCAACTACTTTCACAAAAACATCTATGTTCAAGCATTTACAAGTTTTTAGTATGAATGTTTATACTCTATTTCTACCTAGGACTATCATGAAGTCACCCAACAAACAGATTATATTATGATTAAAAGGTCTGTTATAACTAAAGCTGGATAATGAGTGGAATTTCCTAATCGATTACATTCAACTAATTAATTATTCTCACATCAGACTTATTTAGTTAGAATAATTGAAAATAGTAAAAATAATTGTAAAAACTAGTTTTGATTATTCTTATTACCTTAATTGATTTAAATGAGATTTCAATTAATCAATTATTTCATGTGAAACTAGAGGAAATAATTGATGCTAATAGATAATCAACTAATTGAGTTAATTGCCCAACTTTAAATTCATAACAATAATTAAACCAATTTCATATGAGCTTAAACATTTTTTCAGGAATGAAATACATGAAATGCCTGTACAAATCTTGAATTAAGATAATTTTTACTAGAATTTGTTTTTAAGTAACATCCATGAAAACATGTACAATATATATAATGATTTTCAAAAACAATACCCTAACCCTTTTGAGACAGGTGAAAGGTCATGTCATCTCATTTGTTGACTCGCATTCAAAATGTTAATGAACTACTATTTCATGAATTTATGTCAATAAGTTTGATACCAAACTGTAGATCATAATTCAAATTTTAGTACTATACATTACTCAATTTCTATTAATATTAATAAAACACAGATAAACATTAATTTTTGTGTGTCACGTAGTATGTTGAAAGTAGCACTGGTTTAAATTAGATGTTTGTGAAGTCAAAATACCAAGTCTATAGTTTCGTATGAATTAGAAACTCAAATTACCAATATTGACAAACTAGAATATAAAATAAGAAAATCTTGTCTTTTCTATTTGCTAAGATATTGCTCATGTAATAAATCAAACACAGTGGCGCCCCACCCACCTCTTTTCATTTTTGGAAATGCTTCCTTATATACACTTACTTCTATATGACATTAATAACCAAACGAAAGCTCAGAATGTTCCCCTAGTGACATGCTTGGCTATTTCAAATTTTTAGGATGCCATTTCTTTCTTTTGAACCAAGATTTCAAGGAGGTAGGTTGTGTTTTTAGTCTGCTCGAAATTTCATATCTTTTTAGATGCAAATACAGCTTAGTTGCTAAGCTTGATAAAATATAGTGGAATTCTATGGTACTGATGTACTAAT